ATGCTCTCGAAATCCGATGACCGCGATGCTCTCCTACCTGCCTGTTGTGCGCGAAAATGGCTCCAAGAGACAGGAAGTGCAGAATCTTTGAACTGTGCTTGGGAATCTGCCTGGCTGCTTAAAAGAACACAACCAGGGTCTCGTGATATGACCCTGTGGGACCCGGGACACACCTGTCGCACCAAAGATTCCAGAATGGCGCCGTCTTTCACAAGCCTCACCATGCAAGCGAAGTGGATGCGAGTGCGTGTTTCACTTCCCAAAAAACTCAGGAGTTAAAGTAGCATGCATGTACTACTATACCTTGTGGGTGTCGCATCTCACAAAAGACTAGGCACTGTCGTGCTTCCGACGTGTTCAGAGATGCTTGAGAGAGGCGCACACTGCTGCAAACGAATACGATTCTCCCGGAATGCCCCACGAACTGAGCTGAGGCTACCCGCATTCGCTGGCATGCATTCGCTGTGATAGCCAAGTCCTTCACACTGAAGTCCACCTGGAGAAAGCTCGCAGGGCTAGTCAGAGCCCTTCATCCCAGTCTAGCTGCGATCGCAGTTGCTGCTTAATGGTAGTAACAGTTAACAAGCTGCAACAGTCTGCAGTATATCTGTTCAGTGGAGCTCATCAATCAAGCCATCAGCCTACTGTAATAGACACACCAATCCAAGTGGACATCTTCTGCAGTCTTACTTGACCACTTCCAGCTTCTGGCGGCACGAACCTTGAACGCAAGATGCCTGAAGCTGTGCTTTCCTGTCTTGTCACCCTTGACCCCTCCAGCCCTCCCGCCAGACATTCCAAACCTATGTATATACATACTGACACACACACACGTGCATACACCCATGCAGGCTTGCGTTCTGACGGAGACAACATAGTCTCGAAATGTTGAAGCACAACAGCAAACTCCACTGCTTCCAGCCCTCTGCTTCAAGGAGAAGATTTGCCGAAGAAGTGAAACCCAGATCTTCGAGTGGAGGGCCATGTGGTAGACGATCTGCTTGCTGATGGCCTTCATAAGACCTTCCTCCCACAGGCGCACCAGTTCTACTGCTATGCATCTTTTCAGTCGGCGTTCATAGCTCCTTTCAGTTGGGACTTCTCCTACAAGTACTACAAGCACATCGTCTCCTCCCACCAAGGCAGCCGGTGTTGTCGCAGTGACTTGATCCCATCGTGGTTTCGGGTTTACGGTTTATGTGATTCCCACGAGTTTCCCAAATAACCCTGCATGGCCGTTCATCGATCACATCCTCATCCACATCCATCCCGTCTTCTCCACATCATTATCGCCAGCACCACCATCGCCAAAGTCATAACCATGAGTACCAGCATCGGATCCTTGTTATGCGTATTGAATCCCAGCCTCAGCACTCTGAGTCTTGGCCAGTGCGTCCATGGCCTCATTTGTTCGGTCCAAGTGTATCAATCCCTGGGCCTACGTTAGGGTTTGGGAAAGATTCAGGCCAGAACTTTGGTGGCTTCCACTGGGCGAGGACCTAGATTCAGGAACACCCCTCGCTCCTGCTGCATGCACGACAAGACATATACCAAAAACAATCTGGAAACGATTGAATGGCCAACGAACATCATTCTTGCGGGCCTGCGACATAGACATGTGCTGATCTCCACTGAGGGGACTTGTTGTTGAACATGGTGCAACCGCTGTTTCGTCCAGGATGCTAGACCAAGAACAGTAGCAATCCTCTGCACCATGCTCACATGAATATCACGAATTGCCTCTGATGACCATCACCATAATCATTACCATACTGCTGTGCTGTCCTGACATGATCATCATCAAAACAAAACACCCTTGAGCAAGCCGGCCTGCACCAGCAGCCGTGGCCGATCAAGCGCCTCCGGGTTCTGCTGCAGAACAGTGCAGAGAGCCCCACGCCTGGGCTCTCTGGGCGGTCTCAAGAGGAAGGGGCGTACTGCCAACAGATTGCCGCAAAAAGTGTATGACAAGGCTCTGGCCAGCACACATACCGGGCGCAGACATGGGATGGCGCAAAGGACAGAACAAGCAAAGTCTCATAACCGATGACCCAAACTCAGCCCAAACGCCACTCGACTCCACTCGCTTCACAATCAAACACTACATGGACTCTAACCGGGTGTGTTGACGAGTTGTGGAGCATAATTGTATACATCTTATCCAAAAGAACACAAAGACATATCATGCTTTTATATCATTACGCGTTTGTATGAACTCACATAAGGAAGTAGAGATGCCTGCCCACATCTACGCATGGATGTCTGTCGTCCTGGCTGTCTGTGTGTGCGTGTGCATTATGGTTTTTATTGCCTATGTAAACCTATATTCTATGATTTTGTTGAAACATGTTGTGTCAGACTAGACTGTATTACTATACTATACTATACTATACTCTACTCTGCTATACTATACTGCCATTACCGCACTACACACTTTCCTAGTCTACTTTACTGTACCAAACCATAGTTTTTGCCATACCATGCCCTACGATACCGTAGCACACCACTGTACCATATCACATCAAGATACGGTACCGCACTGTTATTTCACGTGCCGTGCCGTGCCACGCCACGCTAGACTTGTTCATCCTGTATTAAACCGCATGATGATGCAATGTCTTGATTTAAATGACATTGTTTTACGTCATAGTTATGGTCTCGCAACCTTTTGCAAGTAACACGTTGCAACGACATTTTCATCGTTTTAAACGTAAGCGGTGTTGCAGCTACATGTATAACCGTGGTGTAGCAGATTTTCACTCTAACTCAAACCCTAGGCCCTAACAATCCGGGAGCCCAGGCAGCTCCGATGTCGCTTCCTTGGTGCCGAGGCCCACGAGGAGCCGCACCGCTGTGCCAGCTGCGAGACCTTTTTCATCGAGGACTTGTCGTGGCTTTTTGTTTGTGGGGCTCAGGGCTTCTGTGTGGAGTTGTTCTGGACGGTTTTTAAAGCGCTTTGTTTAGGCTGTTGCTACGAGTGCAGAAACGCTCTTCGGGGCTTTCATACTTTCGGGCTTGGATTTAGAGGATTCCATGCTTTTCCGGCTTCAAGGCCGGAGGAGTCCAGCTTTGGCGGTGTGTGTGTCTGTCAGGCTTTAGCTTTGGAGTTTGATGGCCGTGGGCCATGGGCTATCGGCAAAACACCCACATACGCCCCTGCTGGCTGTTGCACGTGAAAGGTCGGTGGATGTCGGTGGGCTTGTGCAGCGGCGCACGTTCTTGACTTGAACTGTCGGCGATGGAATTCTTTTTTGACATGAGAGACATGGCTAAGCCATCCCGCGACCTCAACCTGTACATACCTGCGAAAAGCGGTTACAAGAGGCAAAACTATGCACTGATTGGCGGAGACGACACCGCCGGCATCTGACTCTACGCTTGTCGATAAATGGCTCATGCGTGCAGTGGACTCCCAAAACAGCGAACTGATACCCCTTAGAGCACGGCAGCTCCAAACAAGCTCTGTCGGCGATGGAATTTTCAAAGTCTCATCTGTGAGTTCGTGCGACGAAATTTAACACCCGGAAGAGCGCAACAACTTGCAAGATGGTCTTAAACTGCGCTGAAGCCCTCAGCCCTGAATTTCAAGCTTCCCAATGCATGCGCAACAAAGCCTGCAACCTCTCCTGGATGCGCCGCATGTCGAGTACCAAGACCTGCCGCAGCACGTGGCAAGGGACCGGTCATTCCCAAACTGCAACCGTTCCATGAACTGCTGACGCTGGCAAAAACTGCCTCGCCTCACTGTCACTGGACCTTACACTGCCTTCTGGGTTTTGGAATGGGTTTGACGATTGTGGCGCGCACAAACCAAACACCACCAAGCTCCCGCAACAAAAATTTTCCATGTCATACTAAGACAACAGCAACAACAGCGGCCCCACAAACTCTCAGACGAGTCACCTTCCTGTAGGACTCGGCAGGGCAAATTTAGCCGCACCAAAGCCTTCGAAACTGATGCTTGCAGCTAGAAAAGTGTTGATGGCGTATTGTGCTTTGCGAGGGAAGCTTGGCCGCAGCATTCGGTATGGAAGAATATCGACATGGAAATGTGATATCGAAGGTGAATCCAAGGATTGGGGGCAGTGAAGACTGCATGGAAACATCAAAACACGTAAGCAGATGTGCAGTCCGAAACGGCACCTTGGCGAATAGAACCACTTACTCTTCTGACCCCAACTAACTAAAAAAAGACCTAATAAATAGTGTCATGTCACCTCCATCTAAGGCAAATACGGATTTTTTCAGAGACTGGCAGTCCGGCGGGAGGACGGTGCGTCGGGCTCAACTGCAGGCCATGCGCCGGTCTTCCTTGTCGGGATGTGGAGCCAACATTGTGGCTGTAGCAACAGATGCGCTATCGAAAAGACCAAGAAAACATAATACGGTAACATTCAAAATGACATCAAGCTGGTTCAGACCAACAACAAACCCAAATATGACCATCGTGAAACTCTTCGTTCTCGTGCTCGCTCTGCGCGTTCAGCAACAACAAAGAAGACAACCACAGCGAAAAACAACACAAACAGCAATAACCGTTCAACAACCCGTGAGGCGGCACTGTCACGGCGACATGCGTGTACTGCTCGTAACGACCGCAAGGGGTCATGCAACCATGATAAAATTTGCACATCAATGCATGATAGCAGTCACGGCAACGGGAAACAGAAGGTGAGAAACAACCCCGATGACAAACGAATGTGACGCAGCACGCCAGTGCCGCGAAAACAACGGCAGAGGACCTTCCCAGCTTGCAAGAATGTCGTTGTTATCCATCATGCCAGGTTGGTCAAGAAGCTGCATGTGGGACACCGCAAGTTGCCGGTGCAACGCAATGGCAGCCTCGGCAGCCGCGCAAATGGGAAACCAGGACATGCTTCGGCTCAATTAACTATGCACGGCTGATGATTGTACCCTGAAAGGGCCCTGAAATGTGTCAAGTGTCATAAGCTGCGCCCATGCTATCCCGAGCCGGTCATAATATGAACGTTGAACTTGGAACATATCTGGCCCGTCCATCTCCCCCCCATCTGACTCCCAATCCCTGCCTGCGGATATCGTTGCTCAGCGAGCAGAAGCCTGTCTCGTCTGAGCAACAAGAGCAGCGACGGCGTGTCCGCGATGAGCGACCACGTGTGAAGCACAGGCCCGTACAGCGCAGCCTTCGGTGCAGCCAGCAGAAAACTGAATTGCAGTCGGCTTAAGTTTGGCTCTGTAGGTTCTTGCAGTCAGCACACAAACTTTAACCCTAAACCCGATGTGTAGATAGCAGTATACAGACAACTTGCACAGCCATGTCTTCATGGGACGGATGCACCCACCACAACCTCGCAGAGAAGATCGCCAGCTGACACGGGCTTGCCGCGGCGTGCAACAGGCAGCCTTGGCAACAAACGTCGCAGCTTGCAGGCGCGTGAGCTCATCGCCCTGCTGTCATACAGCGGCGTTGGCCTCAAGGTGGCCCGCATTGCGATGCTGATACTACTAGTATCAGCACCGCAACGTGCAAAGCCCCAGCACCCGGCCAGCGGTGCTGACAGGGTCCTGGGCTGGGGATGGCCTGCTTGGTAGTGCGGACAAAGACAGCAAGCCACACAAGCATAATCAACTTCAACATGGCATTAGGCACTTCGTCCGCAACAGTACTGGACAGCATGAGATCGGGCAACGCAGAATCAAGGAGGAATCCTACAATGCAAGCAGTTGTTGTCTTGCTGAATCGTAGGGCAACGGAGTTGACTGAGGCGCTGATCTGAAATGTGTACATCATGGCTCAACTTGAGGTTGCGTGTGCTTGAAGTATGCACTCCTCAGCACAAAATGTTCCAACGGCGGAAGTGAATGCCAATGAGCGTCTGCCCGAAGATCCGCTTGATGTTGACATCCACGGCCACCTCTCCTCTGCGACAGGACACTGGATCCTCGAAGGAAGAAGCTTCGTATATGTCTGCGAGGGCCCGCGGAGTGGGACAGCACGAAAAGCTGGCCGAACCTCTGATCCCCAACCAAGGGCAAGCTGCAGAGCTTCAGTACTGTCTTGCTTGAACATAAAAGCTCCGAACCCAACCTCTCAACGGCATGAAGCCCCTGCCTGGCCCCAGCACGATACCGCGCTGGCTGCCGTGCTGGATCTGCAGCGCGCCACTGGCGACGACCTCGGGTTGATTTCCTGTTGAACCCACACTGAAAGTCTGACATGCACACGGACCTTGCGGTCAAACCGTTCACAACTGTGTCGCAAACTCTCAGCTGCGCTAGAACTATCCTAGTGAGATCATGGCTTGGGGTGCATGGTTCTGCTCTCTTGCAGCCACGGCCGCATAGAGACCTTCGGCCGCCAAGCCTTCGTGAAACACCACCTCCCTGGCCTTTACCTCACAAAGCGCACACGCATCTGCAGCATGGCATGTTGAAAAAAGCAGGAGCCACAGAGGTTGCTACGAAGTCGAAAGTGACTTGTGAATGGCCTTCTCAGCCTTCTGTAGCTTCAGCAGGTGACATGACTAACATTAGCATCATTAGCAGCATTCGCATTTTGGAATACGACTAACTGTGGTCTAGGATCGCAAACCTGAGTATCAATTTCGAAGGAAATGTCACGGGCATGTCTACGAACAGCACAAAAGACATCGACGCTTGTCACTTGTCCCTCAATGACCGTGTTCTTGGCAAACGGATACAAGCCCGTCACAGCCCAAAGCTACTCCCGAGTTCGACAAGCTTCCACATGCGACTTTGGTTTTCTGGTTCGTCAGGATTGTGGAGGGCTATCCAACCCGGTCAAGCCGCAGGTAGCTGTTCCAGCAGATCCTCCAAGTCCTCCACTCATAGGAAACGCGAACCGAGACGGTCATCGAAGCAAACCAAAATGCAGCTCTCTGCAGTGCACTGCGTTTCCTG